AGTCCAAGCGGACTGTTTGTTTTGGACGCGTATCTACTGTCGAGGTTTGTACAAATTGTGAATTTCTCTTACCCTAATAGTACCGTATAGAAACCCAGCTCCGACTTTGTTTTGCCTACCCGGAGGTTCTGGTATTACGCGTCACTCGAAGATACCGTTCGACCGTTACACCTGCCTTTGGTGGGCGAGAGGTGGGTGGTGGTCGAATAAAAATTGCTGTTCGGAAACACATTTGGTTTCGTCTGCCTGCTTTCGGGAGCACAAGGGGATACGACCACAGTAGGCTTGGTCACGGGTCTAGGGTTGGCTGAATTGGTGCCCAGCTGCAGCCTGTTTCGTGCCCCCACCCGCGACCTGCTGTGGCAGAGCTTTTTCGCGTCTAGAGGGCGATACTCGGATAAACGCCTAATCATTGGGTTGGTCATTTGAATGCTGCCAGCCCGCTCCAGGATCTTCTGTACGTCAGATGGGGAAGAAAGAGTGAACAGAAGTACAAGAGTTTGTTTGCTTCCCTTTTGGCGTGATCATTCTGCATGAAGCGATTGATCAGGCTTGGTGAGGACATTGTTAAAGACTGATTGTGCCAGCTTTACTGGCGTGATTTTTCCGGAGAATGAGACCTAGATTACCGATCGGTTTTTCCTTAGGCGTCTGTCCACTAGAGACGCTTTCGCAGCCTTTATAGCCGCGTCAGAGAGTTGTATTACCGTCTTCGCATCCAGATGTCCCGGTGAAGATAATGCGAGGTACTCGTTCAGCGAAGAAAGTTCCTTGTCAACTTTTGTTAAAGTCGCTGCATTCTTAGTGTCCAAATCCTACAGTGCCTTAGAAAGACGCTACAATTTCGCGTTGAGTATCCCAATCGAAGTGGAACACTGACATCAGTCTTTTGAATCTGCAGCGGGGATTGGATACCGTTTTTCGAGGCTCTCCTCTTAGCTGCGGTATACATTGCACCCTTAACGTAGAGGCAGCTGGCGCAGACAAACGGTTCAGGAGAGCTAGCTAGTCAGTTTGTCTGGTTGTCCTGTAAACCCGTGTAATTGAGGTGCCATCAGGTCTTGCAGATGTGGCATTGCATACTGTGTTTGACGTTCGACGGGCAGCCTTTTCGCCCACATCTGTGGTGGTCCATCAAAGGCTGCAGAGGGCAATCGGTATAAATTGATGTCATGTTTAGGACTAGATATAAAATAGGGAGTGTGCGCAAAACATCAAAGGTTATCTCTCAGATGGTTTGTTAGAGTAATGAAATTCAACAACAACTCATGTGTGCTCTGTGAATAGATTGAACAACGAAAAAACACTTTCACAAATTTGCGCGAGGGAAAAATGAAACCGATTTCGAATGTACCGCGCGTAGTAGAACTAGCGGTCCGCTGTAGCGGTCCAGTGTGGAATCTTTCCTTGAATCCTGCAAGATTCGTAGCTGCGAAGCAGCGAAATTTGTGATACCACGTCAAACGCTCTTGAGAGTCTTATAGGCCTGTAGCGCCCAGGCGATAGCCGGTCACCAGTTTTTTTTATTTTCGAGTGGCAATCGCTTCTTCCCAAGCAGAGGAAAGGTGGCCTTCGTCAAGCAACTGACGAAACACCAGATAGGAATGATTTGCTAGTGTAGACGACGTTTCACCAAGGCTTCTTGGATCAACATCGTCGGGCCCCAGCGCGAGAATGGGTTGATATTGTGCGGAGGCTGTTGAATGTTCTCCATCGCGACTTGTACACAATTTCCTGGATATCAATTAAAACACGATTAAACAAAGTTGTAGTGGCATATTCACCAGGTGTTTAATAAATCCCTCGTGCACAATTCCCGGTCGGTGTCCGCGCTGAAACCTTGTTGTTACTGTTGAAAACTTAACCTCACTACTTTCTCACTCAGTCCAGTTGTCGATAACGAGGAGCCCTGTGTTAGTAGTGTTCTCTTTTTTTAACAACCAAATCACTTGTTAATCCAGAAGGTAAGAGACACTAATGAAGCCCGTGTTTTGAGAGCGTGAGTTTACAACGTCTAGGTGCACTTCAATCAAGTCGAATACAATACCAAAAATATAAAAGATCAAAGGGACAATTTATAGTTCTGAGTGTAAGTTGACGCAATGGGTGTTTCAAATTAGCAGGCGTGACCCAAGGCCTGCGGGTTTGTCCATTGGCCTCATCTGTCACACTACAATCGAAACCACTACAACTATCTTGTCTCATTTACTCACTTGTTACCCCACCCCATTTGTATTAAACGTTAAGCTTTTCTCTCTGTTATTGCACTCTATCCTATCGGATGTCTCCTCTCGCATTGGAACCACTACAACTATCTTGTCTCATTTACTCACTTGTTACCCCACCCCATTTGTATTAAACGTTAAGCTTTTCTCTCTGTTATTGCACTCTATCCTATCGGATGTCTCCTCAAGCTCGCATTGGCTTTAGGAATCTCTAAACCGACCAAAAAACTATCTGCAATCTTACGTAAGTTTCGTTCTGCCTCTGAGGATTCCCTCTGTCAACCAAAAATATCCCGTTGCTCACAGGATCGCACATCCCGGCGTACTCACCTCAAAAGAAACATCCGTTACAGGGCTGTCCAGAAACCGAAGTACTTCATTGTAGTGATGGTATGGCACTGCTATACCTAATTGTATATCACACACGCAAATATCCTCTTCCTTCCCTTGACTGTATCCTATCGCCCACTCGTTCAATTACCCGCAACTACGAACGAACTCACGCTTCGTTCTAACTGTAAAATTATGATGATGTCTGAGGGTACGCCACCCACCACTTGGGAACAAACGCCATCATGATAACGTAAAAATTTGTGAGTACAAAGTGCACACCAAATGGCTTTGGTTAGCTCATTCAAAAAAACCTGCATCTTCTCCTCCTATGTGAAGCTAAAGACAATATTTGCATGCTGTAGATCGAAGGGATTTTTATCAAAAGATGTTTGATTTTTTGATGCTTCCATCTCGTCGGTCAAGTAAGGAATCAAGTAGGACTAGAGAGAGGGTGACTTCGAATGACACCGTTTTGTGTGCGGAAGTTTTCGGAGTCTTCTGAAATTTTCCGTAAGGTATCCGCTTCTTCCGCACCCCATGCCCTCGACGATGCAAAAACTGCATGGTTGACATCCCTGACTTCAACTGCATGCCCTCTTACCAAAAACACTCCCTCCACATAATGAGCCTCATAATCCGCCTTCTGCAACGCAGTAAGGGAAAACTAATTTGGAGGCAATATTTGTCGGACGTCTGTATTTCCGGCCCGAGCTTGCCTGGTTGTGGCTTCCGAGCGATCCCCCTATAAATAGAAAAACTCACTCATAGAAGTGCAAAAAATGCTAACAGTTGGTATCCAAATAAACACAATAGGAGGCCTAACAGGCAACTGGTTTTGCGTAGCTCCAAGCTTTTTGGACCCTATTCTGTGGTCAACTCATCGTGCCAACACGCAACACAACAAGATATCTCTGATTTCATGTCTCTGCAAGCTCTGGGGTACCTCACAATATAGCCAATCCTCATAATCACCTATGCCAACTCCAGCTTGCATGGAATGCACACCCATTGTCTGCACCCGAATATCGATCATCCAAGCTTTTTGGACCCTATTCTGTGGTCAACTCATCGTGCCAACACGCAACACAACAAGATATCTCTGATTTCATGTCTCTGCAAGCTCTGGGGTACCTCACAATATAGCCAATCCTCATAATCACCTATGCCAACTCCAGCTTGCATGGAATGCACACCCATTGCACGCACCCGAATATCGATCATCGTTTTCGAAATCGGGCAGTGTCGCCTCAATGGAGCACTTGAAAAATTGCGACAACTTTTGACTGCCCGTTATTTTGGGCGGTATTCTTGCTCACATCAGAGTGATTTCTAGCGGACTTTTTGACACTGTCCTACCTTGGGCCCCTAATTAAACACATTTGTATAAATCCCCCGTTTGAATTGGCATCATTGAACCACGGTGAAGCCCCGATGAACCCAAGAATATTCTAACTAAAATAACAACTTCAAAAGGCTCATACAAGTTGTTTATGTACAGGGCTGTTCACGAAACCAAGTATGGCATCGAGTTGACAGTACCGTGACTACCCGTAGTCACGTGACTGCCCATAGTCCACCATAAACCCTAGTATTTCCAGACGGGCGTGCTGCGAGCAACCACAAGACCGTCCTTGCCATGTTACTTTATGCATGGGATTTAAAGTAGCGGCCATCTAAATGCGCCGTCTACTTGTTCTGTCTACAGACCCAATAGTCCAAATAGCGATCCTTTCAGTGGGTCGGTATATGAGAGAAGTCCAAACCCTGCCATGCGTCAGATGCAACGTGTGATGAACATCATAAATAAACAACAACTTACCCGATGTGACGAGTTCCTTGGCTTCGGTAGAACGCTTGCCTCAAAGATAGCATTTTTCATACGCAGGCCGCAAATGGCCGCTTCATTTTGAGTTTACGCGCGCGTAAACGACCTGACTGTTGTCCGGAGTTTTGCGATTATTTCCAAATCCAACAGAGAAGGAAACACATGAAGAAACCAGGTTTTTCACAGACTTTTCCATCGTTTTAACAGAGACAAAGAGAAAAAACCACCAGCAGCCATTAAAAGGCGAATTTCGAGCCCGCAGCATACCCCGAGTTCGTTTGAAAAACTACTAATAAAACTTCGGTCAAATGTGGAGATTCAAGGGGCCCGAATATATACCATCAAACAGTGAAAATATTATGTTGAAGCTTTTCTCCTTCAAGCTACGGTTGCAGAGAAATTTCGGTGTGCGTTCAAGGCTCGACGTTTTTGTTTCAAAAATATGGTCTTAATTGGATTTAAGTAGATTCACTGGCGTCGCTGTTGTAGTCAAGCCAGCTATGAAGAATAGATTTGGTGGAAGAATAGTGCGGATGCATAGGAGCAAACAAACACCGCGAATGATATCGAACTTGTGGAGGAAGTAAACCAAAATCACAACAGGGACGCAGATAGGTTTAATCCGACGAAAGGTTCAGTGGGCTTGAAGAAAGGCTTCCTAGAATCGGTTTGGACTGGGTGGAAAATTTGTTCGTATTTTCTATTACGGCTTTCAGTGAACGGCTGATGACGGTCGAGGGTAGGAAAAAAATAGTTGCGGGGGTGCAATTAGACTGGGTATGGCAGTTCCATGCCATCGTTGAACTGATATATTTCGGTTTCTGGACAGCCCCGTAACAGTCGTCAAGGGTATCGCTATTTGGTGTGAGATATGCACTTCCGTGTCGGGTTCATCTGGGTTAGACAAGGAGATTGACACAGAGAGTCAGGCCAGTGCAGAGGCACGGATAATCTCAATTCATTTGGAGGACCATGTCAGTGCAGACTGGGGACCACTCAGATTAAGTGAATAGTTGTACGGGACGTTTGGAGTAAGTACAGCCGAAGCTTGAAGTCCTACTCAGCAGTTGCGACAAATAACCAAGGTACGTGACACTGCGTACAGTTATCATGATAAAGGGCAATGGAATACCTCGATTTCCTACAATGTTATTGAGCTTTTAGCCATACTGCAGCTAACGCTTGCGAATATTTCCGATGGAAAAGAAAATGTCGTGTTTGAAATGCTCAAGCAGATGTCTAGAAGCGCTGTTTATGTTCGAACTGGTTGCGCATAGCTGAGAATACGGTTCATCCACGAAGGTGAATAACTGCATATAAACTATACAATGCAGATTTGTCTACCACTACAGCAATGATCAAAAGGTGAGCCTCCCAGACAACTGTGTTTTGTTAAATTTCGCAGAACGACTTAATTTGGGTTGTCACATCCGATGAGTATAACGCATACAAAGGTTGTTAAACCATTTGCTCGACGGAATTTGCGTTATATGATATGTATACGATAATTTTCGTTTAAGTTACACCGCTGAACGCCGAAATATGCCAGGGTTTTATAAAGTGTTAATTGTTATTTAATTAATTAATTAATTGTTAATTGGTACGCACATGCGACTGTGCAGTTGGCTACCTTGTAATTTCCCTCACTTGAACAAACTGGTGTGGGCGACATGTCACCCGTGTGTGTGGCAAGCTATTGAAGTAATATCTAGCAGTCATATTTTTGGCTTATTTATCAATTGACTCCATCTGCCGGCTAATTGTCCGGCCGGCAGAAAAGCCGGACAAATAACACAGCACAATCATATCAAACAGAAATTCAAAACGGAAAGGTTGCCTGGGGCAAGTTGACTATAAACATGATGTAATGACGTAATCCTCTTATTTTTAGTCCCCAAACTTCAACGTTGATTGGGTGATGACAGCCGTGGATAAGAGCCAGACCCGAGGCAGATATGACCGGGCAAAAAGGTGGGCGTCAGCTTTTTTGAACAGCTCGTTTTTTGCTTCCGCTAGGAACCCTGGTACCGGATGAGAATACAGCGCTTTTGAATCCGTGCTACTGTAGTCACACCAAGCAAGTACGGAGTGGTAGGCCAGGTCAGGGAAACGGTACTAAATACGTCAGCTTAAAAGGCTTCCGAATGGAAAGATTGGCTGGGTCGAATGCCTCAGTGACACGATGCCGATTACGAATGAGCGTAACACACCTTGATAGATAAACTTGCACCGGCGTACGAGCAAGCAGATACGCCCCCTACCTCCAGGATTACGCCTCAGGCATCAAAAGCTTCTGGCTTCCATAAGCGGACGAGCTGGATTTGAACTATGCGCGGTCTTGAAAATCAAAAAACTCAGTTGCAACAGGTGTCGTGAGCAGAGGGCAACCAAATGCTAAATATTCTCCTAGTCTTTCACTTTTCCATTTCGCAAATAATAACGTCCAAAACGTTTCTCAAAATCGACATGTCGATCTTAGGTATACTGCCTTCTTGGTACTTCGGGCAGCTCAATTCCTGGGGGCCCACAGCAACCGGTGTGCTGATCTAATGATTTCCACGTAATCAACATGATGGATGACAATCCTGAACATGCCATTACAAGGAGACTTATATATTACCGCCAATCCCGGTCTACTCCTACTGCCAACCTTGTTTCCCAAGTCTCTACGCCCCTTCTTCTTTAACAGCTATTTCGTTTTACCACTGTGAAATTTTCGTGTTGTTTACGCGGACGTTAACCGCGTTCCATGTAATTGCCTGGTCACCAGCTGATCACCTGTGTCACGAAGTAAGGAAGGGCTACCCTCCCCAGCCATATGTGCTAGTAGTCGCCGCTGATTTGTGATCATTCCCAAGAGCTCACAAAGCGGAATGCCAGTATACCGATCTTCAACAACCAAGCGACGATTGTCAGGTTTATTCTCAGACCTTCACCAATAGCCCGGTACCATTTCCGCCTTTCCGGTTTTCAAACCATAGATTTCCATTTCTCACCTATACTTACCCTAATTTCACATGTTTCCTCCATTCACACTACTGTATACCAGTGCTCCAATTGTGTCTTTACGATAAGAGGCTGTCTATCTCCATCTTTGAAGGAGAATATCATTGAGCGAAATATTAGCTGCGTAAGTTCAAGCGCCCCATCGATGCCAACTGCTGTCTAGACTAAAAAACACTATGTCATAACAGCATAAGTATCCATTATTACCTGAACAATTTACGCTTTTGAGTATAGTCTGCGTGCGCTGTTTCACACGTATACTTCACTTGAGTCCGTCACCTTTGGGCCTCAGCAAAGCACAAAGAAACACTCTAATGCATCTACGTACCAAATTCGGTTGCCTGCGCATTTCAGCAGTCTGGTGCTCAAGCCCTTTGATATGAGGGAAGTAAGTAGTGTGTTCTTCAACCACAACCACTGCATGTTGGAGTAACTTCGCTTGTCAAACCTCTGCTACACGCAAAATGGCCAAAACCTGCTTCTAAATACCAACCACCAAATGAATCATTTATAAAATCCAACTCAACGAAACAGCAAATTGAAACATAATTCACAAACGGAGTCTACTAAATAAATTCCAAGAAAGAATACGTAACCCTTACCCCCAGAAGATGATCAATTCCTCATACGAACCCGTGAGCAACTCTCCCCAAACTACCACTTCACTCATCTCCCGCTGGTAGGTGACTTCAACGCTCCAAAGGCCTCCTGGATGGAGCTCCAGGGAGCCGACTCAAGCGTACTTTTTGCAACGGCGCTGATTGAAGCTATCAAACAGCGTGCTTGGACTCATGTCGTTGCACCCACCAGATACCGCCCAGGCCAACTACCATCCCTCCTGGATTTGGTCGTCACCAACGAAAGACATTTCACTGATCAGGTAACAATTACCGCTCCACTGGGACATAGCGACCACTGTGTGCTGACCTTTGATTTCATCTGCTATTGGGCCAGAAATCCCGAACCTCAAACGCGGTTTCGAGACTTCTGCCGTGCAGACTTCTCAGGAATGCGCATCTTTCTTCAACGAGTCACACTGGGACCAGCTCCAGTGGAGGAACTATAAAGGAACATTGTCCAGAAAGTTCACGGGGCTGACGCGACGTTCGTCCCAGCACGCACTCGAATGAACCGCGGACTGCCAAAAGGGCCTCGGCGACTTCTGGAAGAAAGGTCCCAACTCTTTCAAAAAGTCGACTACAGGAGATGCAGAAGATTCACGGATTCACGGATTCACGGATTGATACACAGGATCGAGGCTTTTGCCCAAGTTTCCCGGGTCGGTTTTGTTCTTGTCAGTCAGTCGCTGTCGTTCACCCGAAAAGCACAAGTGAAAAAAGGGTGTAGCACTGCTCTTTATGTTCTCAGCGCGGGGCAGTATGCTCGCCAGCGCGAGGATTTGCATAAATAAATGTCCAATAGTGCTTTAAATTGGGTTCGAGAAGCAGCGTGTACAACAGTCGGAGGAAGGTCATTCCACGCAGCTACTACCCGATATGAAAAAAAGTTTTGTCTAACGGATGTGTGTGCCCTGAGCTTGAAGATTTTCTTACTATGTC